TGTACACAAAATAGTAGCACTGCTATACACCAACAACAACCAAGCAGAGAATCAACTCAGTAACTCAATTCCTTTTACAATTGGTATGTGTGTGTATATATGTGTGTGTGTGTGTATATATATGTGTATGTATATGTGTGTGTATATGTGTGTGTATATATGTGGGTGTGTATATATACATGTGTATATATGTGGGTGTGTATATATGTGGGTGTGTATATATACACACGTGGGTATATATATACACACCCACATATACATATACACTCACACACTTAACCAGGGAGGCAAAAAATCTTCACGAGGAGAACTACAAAACACTGCTGAAAGAAATAATAGATGACAAAACAAATGAAAATACATTCCATAAGAATCTGTATTCTGAAAATGACCATACTGCCCAAAGATTCGATGAAATTCCTATCAAAATGTCAGCATCATTTTTCACAGAATTAGAAAAAAAATCCTAAAATTCATACAGAACCAAAAAGAGCCCAAATAGCCAAAGTCCTAAGCAAAAGGAATAAATCTAGAGGCATCACATTACCCCACTTCAAACTGTACTATAAGGCTATGGTAAACCAAAACAGTGTGGTACTGGCATAAAAGTAGATACATAGAATAATAGAACAGAATAGATAACCCAGAAATAAAGCCAAATACAACCAACTGATCTTTGACAACGCATGCAAAAACAGAGTAGGGAAAGGACACACTATTCAATAAATGGTGCTGAGGAAATTGGATAACCATGTGTAGAAGAATGAGACTGGACCCTTGCCTGTCACCACATACTCAATTAACTCAAGATGGATTAAAGACCTTAAGATCTGAAACCATAAACATTCCAGAAGAAAACCTAGCAAAAACTCTTCTGGACATTGGCCTAGGCAAAGAATTTATGACCAAGACCCAAAAGCAAATGCAACAAAAACAAAGATAAATAAACGCGACCTAACTAAACAAAGCTTCTGCACAGCAAAAGAAATAATCATCAGAATAAACAGACAACCTACAGAATGGGAGAAAATATTTGCAAATTATGCATCAGACAAGGAACCAATATCCAGAATCTACAGGGAACAAGTAATTCCATTAAAAAGTGGGCAAATGACATGAACAGACATTTCTCAAAAGAAATACACAAATGGCCAACAAACATGAAAAAATGTTCAACATCACTAATCTTCAGGGAAATGCAAATTAAAACCACAGTGAGATACCGCCTTACCCTACCCAGAATGGCCATGATTAAAAAGTCAAAAGACAGTAGATGTTGACATGGATGTGATGAAAAAGGAATGCTTATACGTTGCTGGTGATAAAACAGTATCTAGAGATCTCAAAGAAGTAAAAGTAAGTCTACTATTTAACCCAGCATTCCCATTACTGGGTATCTACCCAAAGGAAAAGAAGTCATTATATCAAAACTGCACATAGGTGTATTGCAGCACAGTTCGCAGTTGGAAAGTTATGGAGTCAACCTCAGTGCCCAACAACCAATGAGTAGATAAAGAAAATGGGGTTTATATATACCATGGAATACTACTTAACAAAAAATGAAATAATACCTTGCAACGACTTGGATAGAACTGTAGGCCATTATTCCAAGTGAAGTAACTCAGGAATCAAAAACCAGATACCACATGTTCTCACTTACAAGTGGGGACTTAGCTGTGGGTACACAAAGGCACACAGAGTGGCATAATGGACATTGGAGACTCAGAAGAGGGGGAAGGTGGTGGAGAGTGAGGGATAAAAAACTATAGGGTACAATGTACAGTACTCGGGTGATGGGTGCACTAAAACCTTAGACTTCCCTACTGCCTACTTTATCCATGTAACCAAAAACCACTTGTACCCCTAAAGCTATTGAAATAAAAAATTTTATTTAAAAAACTAGAATTACAGTATGATCTAGTAATACTACTTCTGGGCATATATCCAAAAGAGTTGAAAGCAGGATCTTGCAGGATCATTCACACCCATGTTTGTAGCAGCACTGTTCACAATAGCTAAACGTTTGAAGCAACCCAACTATCCATCATGGGATGAATGGATACATATATGTGGTATATACATACAAGAAAATATTACCCAACCTTAAAATGGAAGAAAATTTTGACACATGCTACCACATGGATAAACCTTGAAGACGTTATGTTACATGAAATAGCCAGTCACGAAAAGATACTGTACAATTCCACTTACCTAGAGTAGTCAAATTCATAGAAACAAGTAGATAGTGGTTGCCAGATGCTGTGGGGAGGTGGAAAATGGAGGGCAATTTAATGGGTTATAGTGTTTCAATTTTACTAGATGAAAAAGTTTTGGAGATTGATTGCATAACAATGTGAATATACTTAACAGTACTGAACTATACACATAGGTTAAGATGGTAATTTTTATGTTACGTGTTTTTTACAATAATTTTTAAAAAGAATCTAGGAACAATTCTTTCATAAGGTCATAATTTAGAAGCAGTAGCAGATTTAGACAGCATTATTACTGTTTTTAATGAATCAACTTTATTTTCAAGAGCAGTTTTCACAGCAAAATTGAGGAGAAAGCACAGGGAGTTCGCCTGTAGCGCCTGTTCCCACGCATGCGCAACTGTCGACATCCCTCGCTAGAGTGGTACATTTGTTACAATTGATGACCCTACATTGACACATCATCACCCCAAGTTCATACTTTACCTTAGGGTTCACTCTTGGTGTTGTACACTATGGATTTTGACAAATGTATAATGACATGTATCTGCCACTATAGTATACAGAAAAGTTTCTCTGCCCTAAAAACCCTGTGTTCAGCCTGTTCTTCCTTCCTCACTAATTTCTAGCACCCTCTCATCTTTTTATTGCCTCTATAGTTTTACCCTTTTCAGAACGTCATATAGTTGGAATTATACAGTATGTAGCCTTTTCAAATTGTTTTTTTTTTGTTTGTTTGAGACAGCATTTTGCTCTGTTGCCCAGGCTGGAGTACAGTGTTGTGATCTTGGCTCATAGCAGCCTCTACTCCTGGGCTCAAATGATCCTCCGACCCCAGCTTCCCAAGTAGTTGAGACTACAGGGATGCAGCAGCACACCCAGCTAATTTTTGTGTTGTTTGTAGAGACGGGGTTTCACTGTGTTCCCCAGGCTGATCTCAAACTCCTGGGCTCAAGCGATCCGCTGCCTCAGCCTCCCAAAGTGTTGGGATTACAGACATGAACCACTGCACTTGACCTGGGTTCTTTCATTTAGTAATTTGCGTAAATTTCCTCTGTGTCTTTTTGTGACTTAATAGCTTATTTACTTTTAGTGCTAAATAATCTTCCATTTATGTAGGTACCACATTTTATCTGTTCACTGAAGGGTCTCTTGATTGCTTCCAAGTTTTGGCAATTATAAATTGTTATAAATAAATAAGGCTGCTGTAAACATCTGTGTGTAAATTTTTCTGTGGTTAAGTTTTCAGTTCATTTGGGCAAATACCAAAGAGCACAATTGGTGAATCATATGTAAGAGTATGTTTAATTTTGCAAGAAACCGCCACACTGTGTTCCATGGTGGCTGTACCATTTTGCATTCCTTCTAGCAGTGAGTGAGAGTTCCTGTTGCTTCACATCCTTGTCAGCATTTGGTGTTGTCAGAGTTATGGAATTTGGCCATTCTAATAGGTTTTTTATAGTATCTCGTTGTTTTAATTTGCAGTTCCCTTATGACATACGATGTTGAACGTCTTTTCGTATGCTTACTAGCCATCTTTACATTGTCTTTGATGAAACATCTGTTTGATAAAACATCGGATCTTTTGCCCATTTTTAGTTGGGCTGTTTTCTTAATGTTAAGTATTAAGAATTCTTTGTACAGTTTAGATAACAGTCCTTTATCAGATGTGTTCTTTGCAAATACATTCTCTCAGTCTATGGTTTGTCTTCTCATTCCTTCATATTGTTTTCTGTGGAGCAGAAATCTTAAATTTTAATGAAGTGCAGCTTATCAGTTTTTTCTTTCATGGATTATGGCATCAGTGTTTTCTTTCATGGATTAAAGTCATCACCATACCCATGGTCATCTAGGTTTTCTCCTGTGCTATCTTTACAAGCTTTATGGTTTTGCATTTTACGCTTACGTCTGTGATCCATTTTGAGTTAATTTTTATGAAAAGTGTAAGGTCTTCGTCTGGATTCATTTTTTGCAGAAATGTCCAGATACTGCTAAATGTCTCCAGGAGAGGGGAGAAATTCCTCCTTGGTTGAGAATTACTGTTATAAATAGATCAGTTTAAATGATAGTAGAAAATTCCACTGAATTTCATTTATTTTTGCATGTGGATGTCCAGCACCAGTATTCCAGCACCATTGTGGAAAATAGTCTTTTCACCATTGCATTGCCTTTCCACTTTGTCAGTGATAGTTGACTACATTAATGTGGGTCTGTTTCTGGGCTCCCTATTCCACTGACCTATTTGTTCTTTCACCAATACTACATTGTCTTGATTACTGTAGCTTTCCATCTAGTCTTGAAGTCTGGTAATAGGCACAGAATTATTTTGATAACACTTGTCAACTAAAGTTTGTGGATTTTTAAGCTAGTGATCTGTTACCAACCTAATTCTACTCTGCCCTGTGCTCTCCTTTGTCTTCTCAGTCCTCCAGTTGGAAAAATAGAGCTGCCGTAGTTGAATTAACAACCAAGCTTGGCTTTCTGTAATTTTTTTTTTCCCAATTATAAGTGGTGTTCTACCATAACACTATTTAAGAGGCAAGGATAGTGCCTGTGGTACCTATAACAAATATGTAACTCGTTTTTAATTAAGAAGTTTAGGTTAAGTGAAGTTAAAGCAGCCAGATGGAATTTTAAAATTATATATGTATTCTGTTTATTATACAAGTATTTGGTAGGTTGCAATGATAAAAAATATTAAAACGGTGGCTTGTAAGTACTATAAACATGAATACAGTCTTTATGATTTGGTATTAGTTATACGCTTTTTTTCTTCTTTTGTTTTAGGAGTCTACCATGGCTCAAGAATCTCCCAAAAATTCAGCAGCAGAAATTCCAGTGACTAGTAATGGAGAAGTTGATGACTCTCGTGAACACGGCTTTAATAGGGTAAGAACACTTTTCTTTCTCTTAATGCAAATAATCATGATAAGCCTTTAAATGTTGAGATGAAAGTAATAGACAAAATATAATATAGGATTGTTTTCTTAGATTGGCTTCAGTCAGGAATCTAATGTTATTATATAGGGATGACAAGGAAGGCCATTTTAATAGTTTGTCAAGATTAAGCTCCAGGCCAGTAAACTATTAGGTTTTGGTTTATCTTCAGTAATTGATCAGCACAAGAGTATGTCTGATGATTTTGGTATCTAACTTTATAAGACTACTTAATTCTGTTTGTAAAAAAAGATTATCCTTTTAAAATTGGCACTAATATCTTTTCTATATGTATGTCATTTAGTACATAATTTCCAAATAGCCACTTCTGATTTTGCTGTTCATTTTCTAAAGTGCCATACTTGACTCAGTGGAAAATGGTATTCGGGGTTCATTTAATTTTGATCTGTCTGTCAGTTGAAATTTAATTTTAGTGCATTTTAATTGGAACACCATGGGTTTGAAGATAATCTGGGTTCAAATTTCAGCTATGCCACATTTCTAGCAGTATAATCTTGTGCCAGTTATTTTATCTCTTCAGATTTTTGTTTTCTAATCTCTGTAATGAATATCTTATTTACTTTCATGAAGATATTAATATTAAATGAGATAAGTAATATGTCTAATATAGTCATAGAAATGATAGTGATGGTTATTTCTGGAGATACTTGCATTAAACATTCCTTTTTATGACATTTGATATAAGTGTACAACTTTAAAAATAGAGTTTTCATATTTTTGAAAAAGTAGTGGTTGAAATGTACTTAAATTATTGTGTAGTTTAGATAGTACTCTTTACTCCATATGTTTAAGAATAAAATATTTTAGTTTAGCAGAAGGTGATAACTTAAATCAGGATTTCTCAGTCTTAGCACTGTTGACATTTTGGGCCAAATTATATTTTGTTGGGTCTATTGGCCTACGCATTGTAGGATGGTTAGCACATCTCTGGCCTCTTCCTACTATTTAATAGATGCCAGTAGTACCCTGCAGTTACGACAAACAAAAATGTCCAGATATTGCTAAATGTCTCCAGGAGAGGGGAGAAATTCCTCCTTGGTTGAGAATCACTGTTATAAATAGATCAGTTTAAATGATAGTAGAAAATGCCACTGAATTTCATTTATTTTTGCATTAACAATCTTTTGAAAGGACCTAGTATGTCTTCAAGCTTAAGGTTTATTTTAATGGCAAGTGCTTTAACTTGGTTTCTGAGCACTGTGGTCCAGCATGGTGTGACTCATAGAACCAAGAGACTTTTAAATTCTGAGCACACAAAAGAAATTTTCATTTCAGATTTTAGTCTTTCCAAGACATACCTGCATAATAAGAAACTTAAGTTAGCATCATTAGACTATACCAATTATTTTATAAAGTTTTATTAATTTTAATACTAATTATGCCAAGATTCAAGTTAATGATTTCTTCATCTTATTTTTGGTAACAACTCTTTTTGCAAACTTACTATGCAAATATTTACTATCTGCTCTGTACCAGGTACTGGGAATATACAGTGAACAAAAATGTCTGTCATCAGGTAGTTGATATTTTAAAAGACAATCTGATGAAAGCTAAGGACCTTTATCCAAGAATAATGCAATAATACATAGAAAATGTTGCATTCATGGTTAGGGAAGTCACTTGCCATCGTAAGCCTGTTTTTCTTCTTCCTGTTCTTCTTTATTGAGGTATAGCTTCTACACAGCAAGAAGCACAAATGTTAAGTGTACCACTCGAGAGAACTACCGCTCAGATAAAGATGTAGAACATTTCCAGGACCTCAGAAGGCTTCCTTATGCCCTGTAGGCAATACAACTCACCCCATCCTGGGATAAACACATTAACCTAACTCTATAATCATAAATTGCTTTCGGCTATTCCTGAACTACCTATCAGTGGAATCATACCTATCAGTGGAATCATACAGTGTGTACTCTTTTTCAACTGGCTTTCACTCAACATTATGTCCGTGAGATTCAGTCATGTTGTTGCTTATTGCAATTTTTTTTTTTGGAAACGGAGTCTCGCTCTGTCACCCAGGCAGGAGTGCAGTGGTGCTATCTTGGCTCACTGCAAGCTCTGTCTCCCTGGTTCACGCCATTCTCCTGCCTCAGCCTCCCGAGTAGCTGGGACTACAGGCACCCGCCACTACACCCAGCTAGTTTTTTTGTGTTTTTAGTAGAGACAGGGTTTCACTGTGTTAGCCAGGATGGTCTCGATCTGACCTCGTGACCCGCCCGTCTCAGCCTCCCAAAGTACTGGGATTATAGGCTTGAGCCACCACGCCCGGCCGGCAGTTTTTGAATTTTTTTTTAATTTTTACTCTAAGTTCTGGGATACATATGCAGAACATGCAGGTTTGTTACATAGGTATACATGTGCCATAGTGGTTCGCTTCACCTATCAAACCATCATCTAGGTTTTAAGCCCTGCATGCATTAGGTATTTGTCCTAATGCTCTCCCTCCCTTTGCCCCCCACCCCCTGAGTGTTTTAAATTGTAGTATAGTTTTCCAGTGTGTTAATATACCACAGTTTGTATATCCATTCTTCAGCTGATGGTTATCTAGGTTGTTTCCAGTTTATGGCTATTATGAATAAAACTGCTGTGACCATTCTTGTACAGATTTTTTGGTGTACTTGATTATTTGTTTCTGTTGGGTACGTACCCAAGAGTGAAATTGCCAAGTCACGAGTATATAAATGTTTGGCAAATAGTTGGACCAGTTAACAACACCAGCAATGAATGAGAGTTCTAGTTGTTCCACATCCTTACCAGCTCTTCATATTGTCATGCATTTCAATTTTAGTCATTCTTATGGAGGCATAATGGTATCCCATTGTGGTTATAAAATGCAGTTCCCTGATGACTATGATGTTGAGCACGTTTTCGTATTCTTATTAACTATTGGAGATTGTCTTTTATAAAGTACTTTTCCAAGACTTTTGCCCATTTCTCTACTGGGTGTGTGTCTTTTTTCTAATCTCTTTGTAGGAGTTCTTTGTATATTCTGGGTATATGTCATTTGTTTGGATGTATATATGCAAGTGTCTTCTTACAGTCTGTGTCTTGTTTTTGTACTCTATTAATGGCATCTTTTGATGAACAGAAGTTGTTAATTTTAATGAAGTCCAATTTCTCAATGTTTCCTTCTGTAGTAATTTTTATGTCCCATTTAATAAATCTTTGCCTACTTCAGTATCTTGAAGACACTTTGTTTCTTCTAAAAGTTGTGTTGTTGTGTTTTTCACAGTATGGTCTGTGATTCATCTTGAATTAGTTTTTGTGTATGATGTGAAGTAGGGACCAAGATTTTTCTTCCCCTCATGTAAATATTCAGTTGATCAGCACTGTTTATTGAAAAGACTGTTCTTTCTAGCCATATGCAAAAAAAATTAAATTGGATCCTTAACTTACACCATACACAAAACTAACTCAAAATGGATTAAAGGCCTAACTGTAAGACCTGAAATTATAAAACTTCTAGAAGAAAACACAGGGGAAAAGCTCCATGACATTGGTCTTAGCAATGATTTTTTGATATGACATCAAAAGCACAGGCAACAAAAAAATAAACAAGTGGGACTACGTTAAACTAAAAACTTTCTGCACAGCAGAGGAAACAATCAACAAAATGAAAGGGCATCCTATGGAATGGAAGAAAATATTTGTAAACCATATATCTGATAAAGTTAATATCATCATAAAGTGATGCTGGATTTTGTCAAATGCTTTTTTGGCATCTATTGAGATGATTAACTTTTGTTTTTAATTCTGTTTATGTGGTTTATCACATTCATTGACTTGCATATGTTAAACCACCCCTGCATCCCTGGTATGAAACCCACTTGATCATGGTGGATTATCATTTTGACATGTTGTTGGATTTGATTAGCTAATATTTTGTTAAGGATTTTAGCATCAATGTTCATCAAGGACATCAGTCTGTAGTTTTCTTTTTTGATTATGTCCTTTCCTGGTTTTGGTATTAGGGTGATGCTGGCTTCATAAAATGAATTAGGGAGGGTTCCTTCTTTCTCTCTCTCGTGGAATCGTATCAAAAGGATTGGTAGCAATTCTTTGTTGAATTTCTGGTTGTAATTCTGCTGAGAATCTCTCTTGGTCCTGGACTTTTTTTGTTGGTAATTTTAAAATTACCATTTCAGTCTCGCTGCTTGTTATTGATCTGCTCGGAGTAGCAAATATTTCCTGATTTAAGCTAGGAAGGTTGTATTTTTCCAGAAATTTATCCACCTCTTCTAGATTTTCTAGTTTATGTGTGTAAACATGTTCATGGTAGCCTTGAATGATCTTTAGTATGTCAGTGGTGTCAGTTGTAATATCTCCTGTTTTGTTTCTTTGTGAGGTTATTTGGATTTTCTCTCTTCTTTTCTTGCTAATGGTCTGTCAATTTTATTTATCTTTCAAATAACCACCTTTTTGTTTCATTTATCGTTTGTATTTTTGTTTGTTTGTTTCAATTTCATTTAGTTCTGCTCTAATCTTGGTAATTTCTTTTCTTTTGCTGGGTTTGGGTTTGGTTTGTTCTTGTTTCTCTAGTTCCTTGAGGTGTGACCTTAGAATGTCAGTTTGTGCTCTTTCAGTTTTTTTGAGGTAGGCGTTTAGCACCTCTTTGCACTTCTTAGCACCACCTTGCTGTTTCCCAGAGGTTTTGATAGGTTAATTTCCACCTTGTTTTTTCATTTTTGACCCAATGCTCATTCAGGAGCAGGTTATTAATTTCCATGTATTTGGTATCAAAGGTTCCTTTTGGAGTTGATTTCCAGTTTTATTCCACTGTGATCTGAGAGGGTGCTTGATATAATTTCAATTTTCTTAAGTTTATTGAAGTTCATTTTATGCCTATCATATGGTCTATCTTGGAGAAAGTTCCATGTGCCATTGAATAGGATGTGTATTCTGTGGTGGTTGGATGAAATGTTCTGTATGTA